TGGGTTCCCCCCTCCTTTTATTTCTGCTACAGAACCACTCTGGAGAGAAACCCTAAATCCGGGTATTTTCCAGCCCCCGGCTCTCGCCTTTCCTAGCAGGGCGAGTCAAACCGCACGATTCCTGCGGGGCTCGTCACACGCCACGCTCCTCCTCGCCCCCGCTAACGGCCTCCACGCGGTGGGAACCGACGCGCCGTCGGTAGAGAACGAAGAGACACACTGGCCCTGAGCTGGTGGTGTTCAAGGGGGTGAACTTCACGGTATGGAACCAAGCGACACGCTGGCCGTGAGCTGGTGGCGTTCAAGGGGGTGAACTTCACGGTACGGACGCGGTAGAGAACGAAGAGACACACTGGCCCTGAGCTGGTGGTGTTCAAGGGGGTGAACTTCACGGTATGGAACCAAGCGACACGCTGGCCGTGAGCTGGTGGCGTTCAAGGGGGTGAACTTCACGGTACGGACGCGGTAGAGAACGAAGAGACACACTGGCCCTGAGCTGGTGGTGTTCAAGGGGGTGAACTTCACGGTATGGAACCAAGCGACACGCTGGCCGTGAGCTGGTGGCGTTCAAGGGGGTGAACTTCACGGTACGGACGCGGTAGAGAACGAAGAGACACACTGGCCCTGAGCTGGTGGTGTTCAAGGGGGTGAACTTCACGGTATGGAACCAAGCGACACGCTGGCCGTGAGCTGGTGGCGTTCAAGGGGGTGAACTTCACGGTACGGACGCGGTAGAGAACGAAGAGACACACTGGCCCTGAGCTGGTGGTGTTCAAGGGGGTGAACTTCACGGTATGGAACCAAGCGACACGCTGGCCCTGAGCTGGTGGCGTTCAAGGGGGTGAACTTCACGGTATGGAACCAAGAGACACGCTGGCCCGGAGCTGGTGGTGTTCAAGGGGGTGAACTTGCATCTCCAGCTCTTCCTTGCTTCAGGAAAAACCCTGGCAGGGAGTCCCTGCCTGGTCCAGAGCAAAAAATCCTGAACAAGAGGATAGTCACGAGCGTCCAGAAGAAGCCCTCACCGAACACACCGCTAGCCTCGTTAAATATTAATCTGTAACTGTCACGATGACTAATACTCAACAGCCGTTTGACCAAAAATAGCTCTGACCTGTGCTTTACACCAGAGACTTCACACACAGATCCCACTTCAACATAAAGATGTCATGAAGGTCTCAAAGTGAATACCACTTTCTGGTGGTCTTCAGTCACAAATGTAAGTTGGTAACTGTTTGTTTTCTCCAGAAAAAGCCAAATCCAACTTTCAGCTGACTAAAGGGAACAAATTGCCACAGTTTATCGTGCCGGCGTTTACCGGCCTTCTCTGCTGCCAGCCCCTTCTCCTGAAGGCTCGCAGCGACGCTGCAGGAGAGTCTTGCAATCAAAACGTGCGTGTCCGTAAGGCTGGCCCTAAGGCACCTGCTTCCAAACGATGCCCCTTTCCTATCGGCAAAACGTCGGGAAGGAGCCCCAGCATCCCAGCATGGGACAGCCCCAGGAGCTCAGCAGCGCCTTCATGGACATTTTATAAAGCCCGTCCATTCCAGCTCAATGAAGATGATCTAGCTAGGAAGAGCAGAGAGGTTTGAGGTAACCCCACTGCCGTGGGTCCTAACTAAGCAGCGGGGATGCCCCCGCCCTACCACCCTCTGGATAAACATCTCACAGAATCACAGAATGTTCGGGGCTGGCAGGGACCTCAGTGGGTCACCCACTCCAACCCCCCTCTCCGCACAGCCGCTCTCCAGCAGCTCAGCCCCAGCCTGTCCTGGTGCCTGGGGTTGTTCCTCCCCAGGGGCAGGACCCTGCCCTTGCCCTTAGTGAACCTCATCACGT